AGAAGTCTTAAATCAGTGTTCACAGGCCACTGTCTCTATAAAGGCTCCCGGAAGAATCTTCCCTTGCTTCCCTCAGTTTCTGGCGGCTCCTGGCAGCCCTTGGCTTGTGGCAGTGTAACTCTAATACCTGGCTCCAACTTCATCTGTGTCTTCCCTCTGTGTCTTCAAGTGTCTCTCATTTTCTCTTATAAAACGCCCATCATTGGATTTAGAAAGCAATTTATTGAGAAAATTTTGAGAGCTGTTTTATTATGTTGCTGCCTTACAGGATGACTTAATCATCCTATACTCTTCTGGTTGTTATGTTAATAAAGTTCCAACAGAGGAACAATATTGTACAGATCAAAAAAGAAACCCTGGACTACAAAACCGTGGTATTTTAGTCAAACTTTTCTTCCAGGGATTTCCATTGTGATAGTAACTTCCTGATCTCTGCCCAGCTGGGTGAGCTCAGTTGCTTCTCCTCCCTGCAACACATTAGTGCAGGTAGAATCCCCACTTTATCATATAATGAGAGGCAGTGTGATGGCGTGAGAAGAGAGATACTGAACATCACATTTTGCAGACCTGGTTTTAGACTGTGGATCTGGAACTTTTTTGTTTTGTTGACCTTTGTTCAGTTACTTAGTACCTGTGAACCTCAATTTTCTCAGAAAATAGAAATAATACCTTCTATGTTGACAGTTGCTGGAAAAATTCAATTGAGTAACATAAGTGCTAGGGAATGAGGACTTAAGGGTAGAAACTGCATGGGGAAGTGGTAGAGAAAAATGGATGCATTTTCTCAGAAACCTATTCCCAGCCCATGCCTCTCTATGATCATGATAAAGAATGGCATTGTTATTTGTTTACCAGAGTCAGCATAAGGACACAGTATTTACAAGAAGACTAAACAAACCATACAAGAGTAAAAATTTGATGCGGAGAAAAAGGAACCCTTCTGCACTGCTGGTGGGAATGCAGACTGGTGCAGCCACTGTGGAGAACAGTATGGAGCTACCTCAGAAGACTAAAAATGGAACTCCCATTTGACCCAGTGATCCCACTACTAGGAATATATCCCAAGAAACCAGAAACGCCAATCAGAAAGGATATATGCACCCCTATGATCATAGCAGCACAATTCACCATAGCTAAGATTTGGAAACAGCCTAAGTGCCCATCAGCAGATGAGTGGATTAAAAGCGATCAGGCTATCAATCCCCAGAAGGGAAGTAGGGGAGGGCGGGGGTAAGGGGAAGAGATCAACCGAAGGACTTGTATACATGTATATAAGCCAAACCAATGGACATGGACAACAGGGGGATGGGAGCATGAGTGTGTGTGCGGGGGGAGGTTGAGGGTTAATGGGGGGGAGGATAAGGACACATTTGTAATACCTTAACTAATAATAAAAAAAATGGGGAAAAAAGAGTAAAAATTTGAGCCAGAGGGCAATGAAAAGATAAAAGGAAAATATTTTATATGTGTGTATTAACTTCTTATGCATTCATTCATTTATTGACAGTCACTTTACTGAGCATCTTCTATGAGAATAAGTACTCATAAATAAAACTGATGGGCTCCATATGAGCTGACCAGCTAGTGGAGGAGGAAGAAAAGAGACAAATAAACAAACAAGTATTAACTATAAATTGTGTTCAGTTAGTGACAGAGAAGATGGAGGTGGAAAGCCCATTTAGACAGACATGGTCAGAGAAGACCTCTTTCGGGTAACAGCATTTAGACTAATACAGGAATGAGAAGAACTCAGCCATGTAAACAGAGGTATAAAGGGCATTCCAGGCAGAGGAACAGAATGCACAAAGATTGTTTTGGTAAAAGGTAGTGAGATTCATAAAGGGAATTTAAAGATAGCCCATTTAGGGAGGTCAGAGTGTTGGGAGAAGAGGCTGGGAGATGGATGGGTGTCAAATGTGCAGAGTTTTGTCGCCTTGTAACATGGTTTGCACATGCAAAATCTCTCTGAAGGGTGGGAAGAAGGAGGGGGTAAAATGGCCAGATTTTTCATTGAGATTCTTTTGAAAAGAGAAGGCTGGATTAGCCCAGGATGAATGAGATGGATTAGGAAGCTAGTGCAAAAGTTCAGGCCAGAAATGATGGTAGTTTGCATTAGGGGTTGGTGGCTGATGTGGAAAAAGAGTATAGATTCAGGGGCTGTAAAGGAGTCATGAGGTAAGACATTGTACTGGCTTAGACATGGGGGAAAGGTAAGGGAGAAGGAGGTCTCAAAGACAGTGCCCAAGTTTCCACTTGGAGAAACCGAATTCTCTGAAAAGGAGAGCCATTTAAAATAACCAGGCTTAAATGTGATTTGGGATATAATGAACTGTGGAGGATCTATGGGGAGGGGGTCAAAGAGGAAGGAGAAACTAAGCAATTGAAAATACAGGTTTGGAATTCAAAGAGAAATCTGAGCTGGATATAAAAATCTGAGTGATTTACACACATGTAATCATGGAAAGCCATAGTTGTGAATGAAATCTCTTAGGAAGAAAGCATAAAGTCAAAAGGGGAGGCAGCCTAGGACCGAGCCTTGAGTGGCCAGGGAGAGGAGAAAGGGCCTTCAGAGAAGATACAGGGCTGGTGAGAGAGGAAGAAGGGTAATGAGAACAGTGCAGTTCCACTGAATTCAATATAGGACTGTTTGGGCAAAAGAGAGAGTGGTCAACAATGGCAAATACTGCTCAGAAACCCAGTATAATAAGGGCAGAGTGGTGTCCTTTGGAGTTGGCAGCAAGAGATCACAGGAGTAATAGCTCAAGGGAGAAAAGACAAGGATCATGACCATGGATGGTGTGGCAAAAAGCCAGCCTGGAGTGGGTGGAGGAATGGAAGAGTGCTTAGAAAATGGTATGTTCTGTGTGTGTGTGTGTGTGTGTGTGTGTGTGTGTGTGTGTGTGTGTTTTCATTTCATTGCTTAGAAGATACTAGGGAATATGTGTGTGCTGTTAGGAATGGTTCAGTAGTGAGGAGATAATGATGATGCAGGGGAGTTAGCGGTCAAAGGATTTAATTTATTGAGATACTGGGAGAGGGAGAGAATACAAAACACACCTCAGGGTGTTTTAGGTTTTGCCTTAAATTGAAGGAGGGACTTTATGGAGGATAGGCTGTTATGAATAAAGTGGTATAAACATTCTTGTACAACTCTTTTTGCAAATATACGTGTTCATGTCTCTAGTGTAAATTCCAAAATGGAATGACTAGGTCATATGTGGATTTATATTTAACTTTATAAGAAACTGCCAAAGAGTTCTCCAAAGTGGTTGCGCATTCACCCTCCCTCCAGCTGTGTATGAGAGTCTACATGCTTCTTATTCTTTTCTTTTTCTTTTCAGTTTTCTTCTTTCATTTTAAAAATTTCCTTTTCCATTACAACTTGTGGTCTTTTCATAGTGCCATGTCTTCTTGTACTCCAAGGATGATGGTAATGTTCTGAAATTTTCTTCTGGATCCTGAAGTAAATCATTTGCAGAAATATGCTCATCCTTTTATTCTTTTTGATACCATTTTCTCTTGCTTTGCAATATGTTCATGAAGCTTCTGGTGGGTTTCCTCTTAATATGGAGCAAGTCAGGACCTACCTACACTTGATACAGATACAGTGAATGACCTGCTTTTGAAACTGATCTCTGTCAATGATATCAGTTTAAATAATCTTCTAAAGTTTACAAATGAAGTGCAAATTCATACACAAAGGTCATGTTTAGGAAGTAGTGGAGCATAGGGTGGCTACCACAGCAGAGATGATGTGAAATGCATTCTCCAACTTAATAAGAAAATACATCATACTTAAGCAAACATTTGGTCAATATACCAACATTGCTCTTTCACTTGTAAGCCAATCTTTATTGACTAGTATGTGTCAGATTTTTTTCATTTAAGCCTCAAAATAAGCTTATAAGATAGATATCATTATGATTGTTATTATTACAGAAATTAGAAATTGAAGCCTTAGAACATTAATTTGTTCAATGTTTTACAGCTAATAAGTGACAGTGAGAGCTTTACCTAATTGTTTTAAGCTATTGCTACACAATCAAAAGCCAAGAACTAGAAGTTAGGTGATGAATTTAACTCATAGAGACCAAACTCCCAGGAAATTTGAAAGCAAATACCTATCTTATTTTGCATGTCCGCTAAATTTTTAATTAATTGACTATACTATGTAACAGAAACTCTTGGACATTTTTTCCTTATCTATTAAAGCTTTTCTGTTAAGGAAAACAGCCAGTTTCCTGCCTTGGCATCTGTGACTATATCCAGGTATTACACAATCTCAGTGATTCAAGGCTTAAATTAGAATTTTTTTTTAAAAAAATTCTTTTTAATTTATATAAAATTAAGGAAAACTTCTACATTAGCATACCTACTTAAAAATAGTAATAAATCTCTTTGTGTTATTGTGTGTCTTACCAAGGAATTGCTTGGTATAAAGTTAACTGAGACTTGAGCTTTTCCAGACTAACATTGTCACCAAGCAAACATGCTCTTGAATATCAGGAGGACAAGTGCATCAAGAATGGAAAATAAGTCCTTGTGCCCTACACCCACTTAAAAAGAAATTTATGTCCTAGCTGGTTTGGCTCAGCAGATAGAGCGAGCGTTGACCTGTGATCTGAAGGGTCCCGGGTTCAATTCCAATCAAGGGCACATGCCCTGTTGCAGGCTCAATGCCAGTAGGGGGTGTGCAGGAGGCAGCCAATCAATGATTCTCTATCATCATTGATGTTTCTATCTCTCCCCCTTTCTTCCTCTCTGAAATCAATAAAAAAATATTTTAAAAAAATTTAGTTCATTCACACACAATAGTAAAAGGTTCACAGTTGATACGCCTAGACATTTGGGTCTGACGCATCCTTTCAGAGTTAGTAACACTACACAAATTCAGGGAAAAAATCATTTAAAAAGAGGCATCCTTAATTTATCAGCCATTGAGAACATCCTTCAGCCCAGCAAGCATCAGACTGCCCGTGGGAATGGAATCTCATTTTGTTAAACACTGCTTACAAGGAAAGCAAGTTCTGTAACTCAGAGTGCTCGACGCTGGCATAAATTGAGTCTGTGCTTGCTATGGCAAGGCCAAATAATTTTCTTTTGAGACAGTATTTGCGATGGCACATTTATTGAAAACTAAAAACATACAAATCCAAACTATTAAAGCCTTGCCAGAAGGACAAAACAAAAGAAAAAAATCAAGGACTTCTTTAAATGAATCTCTAAAACACTAGAGAAGGACCTATCCTTTAGAGCAAGCATGCCAAACTCAAAGGCTAATAGGGGCCAAATAAATGAGGCATGCGGGCCATAGGCCACGAGTTTGACATGCTTGCTTGAGAGCCTCTGATAATAAATGCAGAGAATAGCTTTCAGAAGCTTAGTGATATCCAAACGTCTTCCTTTGCATATATCTTCTTACTGCTTCCAATCTCACTATTTTATTAGCTCAAGATATTGTTACCAGAAAAATAAAACTAATTTTTTAACATGGAAATGCAACCTGAAAATTAGTCCCATTGGAACGTTATGCACTTAAGCAACCAGGTAGCCATGGCCCCAAATGGTGCACTACTAACCTGTGCCCAGCCCTATTTTCACTTCATGTTTCAGCACTTCTAGCACATTGAGTAAGCCGCTGCTGAGCCTGCAGAGAGAGGAGACTGTCAGAACCAGGACACCGATGTGGGCCCAACAAGAGAAGCACCCTAACAGTAGTGATGGAGATGTCACTGACACTTGTATTCTCCGTCACATCGGCGCTAATGCTGACACACACACATGCGTCAGATCAGAACATCTGAGTCCTGGAGTAAAAACAGACCACAAAGGAGCTGAACTCCTGGCACAGAGGTTAATCTCAGGAGGGTACAAAGAAGCAAGAGCAAAAACAGGAAGCGGGAGGTTGTTTGCAAGGAAAAGTAAATGAAGAAATTAAATCTGGCAATTAGTCCAAAAGTCTTACCGGTCTTTAATATTTTTTTTAACCAACCCATCCTCCTATGTTAGGAAGTAGAAATGATAAAGCTTTGTCTTTCCTCTCGGTCTCAGATAATTTGTGACCCTGAATAAGTAGTGACTTTTAAGATCAAAGAAAGGGAGTATAACTGGAAAAGGGCATGCAGGGGGGTGAGTCCAGGCCTGCCAGTTCAAATGAGGCCACTGAGGAAGCAGAAACTAGGAGAGGTGGTTCCTGTGCTGAAGTCTGGACCTCGTGGCCCTGAGCTTACTAGATATGCGCCTTTCTGAAAAAAAACGAAGGAAAACTAAAGCGATCCTTAGAAGTCTGAGAAGATGCAAAGGTCAAAGTGGTCTGCTCAAAGACACACATGATTATAATTCTCAAAGCCCCAATGTACACGCCATAAAACTCTCAAAGTTGTTGGAGAAAGAATAACAGTGGCCATGTAAACTGAAATGTATCCATAAAGAACTTTAAACCTTCATTTGGATCACGTTTTAGTTTAGATGTTGTGTAATTAATGGAAAGGGTGTTAAACCTTTCCCCTATCTGGCTACTAGATCAGATTATGATCACTAATTATGATCACTAAGCTGTATATGGGCAGAATTCCCTGTCATGCGTTACCACTCAATGTCTCAAAACTGGAAGCCTCTAGAACCTCTCAGAACACTCTAGAAATAAGTCGCTGTGTATCTTGTGCCTTCCCATGCTGCCACTGACATAGGTTTTTCGTTTACAAGGTCCCTAGACTTCTAACTGCTGACACCTCCAACTCTTTGCTGAGGGCTCTCTTCAGCCAGTAGAGCCTGCTCCGCCCCGGTTTGGGGAAGGTCAGAAGCTCCAGGGAATCAATGCCTCTTCATCCCACCCAGCAATCACCCAATAATGACTGGTGGGTGTTTGGGTATAACCAGGTCCCCCACCCCTTGTGCAGAATGACTTGGAGGTCTGCTTTGGACACTGACTTCCTGGGATTTCCAGAAGGATTAGACTCCAGGAGCCCATGCTGGTAACTCGGTTAATGATGCACTTTCCTGACCTCCTTCCCTTCTCTGTCTTACCCCCCTAAAGGTGTTTCCTGAGATCACCTCCCCAATAAGTTACTTGTACATGAATCCTCGTCTCATGGTCTACTTCTGCAAGAATTCAAATCAAGAGAACACAAAGTAACCCTCGAAAAGCTAAATAAATGTGTTGAATGAATATATGAGTGATCCACCCCAGCCTTCCTCTAAGAGGAAGCAGCTCTGTTCTGGGTGACTAATACCAGGAAAGAGAGCGCCTGCCTGTATTTAATCCTGGTACATGAATTCTTAACCTAGAATCCATGGGTCAGCATCCTGGGATCTATGAATTCCCTGAAATCAGGTGCAGCATGTTTATATCTCTGGACTTTTTTCCCTGAATATACAGTCCATAACTTTCATCCGATTAACCTGTGAATATATAACCTTCCAAAATGTTAAAAACCAGTTATAAATAAAGCTTTTGTATTCTGGTGAACTATAAAGGGCAAGGACGCTCTCACATGAACTGGCATCCTATCTGATCCAGCAGGTGACATACACCGTATGTAGGGTGTGGATTTCCAGGAGCACTGCGTCATTTCTACTAGTGTGTGTTTCTGGTAGTTTGCACAACACAAAGCAATGGGAAGTGAGCACCTCTCCCTGGAACACCTGCTGGAGTATGTGCCCTTTCGGGCCCTGCTGGAAGTTCTGAATACTGTTGGTTCTGAACTCTTTCTGTTGCATTTCCACTTTCCTCTTTTGCACAAACTCAGAAATTTTAAGAGATGTGGTGCTCTTCAAATACATACTCTGCAAAAAATGCCCTGTTAAGTGCTTTCTTTCTCTTCAGACGCAAAGGTACGCGCCCGTCTATCTAGCTCCCGCCCCAATCAAACATAACTAGAGAAGGGAGATACTGAAGGGATGACTCAGAAAACAAAGGCTGCTGTTTTGCAACCCAAATGTTCGTAATTTATCAACCAATCATTGCCTACTTACGATAAGTTAGAATTGGGACAATGTGCGATCGATGCTCCTCGTTCCCTGAAAACATCCAGTTCTTCTGCGGAAAGGTAGCAGCCATGTGCCATCACTGTCTGGAGAGAAGAGTGTCCTGTGTGGAGTTTACCGCTTAAAAATGCTTCAGCTAGTCCTCACTCACAACAAGACAGTATAGGCACAGAGAGAAGCTGTGACATCTGGACCTGCTCGCGTGTGCATGAAGATGTCTGTAAGCATCTTCACAAGAACATTTATGATTACCTGTCTGTATAAAATCACTCAGTACATGTCAAGACAATAGATTACAAAGGTTTCAGCACATGTGTAGATCTTATCATCATATTCTTTCTTTTCTTTTCTTTTTTAAATCAATAAAATAAGGAGGATTGATCCAGGTCATCTACAACATAGAACACCCATCCAGTTTGAAGATATTGTGATTCCTTCATCTCCACTTTAGAAAATAACCAAGTTACTTTCTTTTCTAAATCTAGTAGGTGTCTGGTGCGGCTGTGTTTGTTCCTATTCTAATCAGTGCTTTCTAGAAGTGAGCTTTCCTTTCTCAGCACACGGTAGCTAGGGGAGTGATCCAGGAAGGAGTTGTTCTTTAATTCTGCCCCAAGTTAGATATAGGAATAATGGACTTGACACATAACCGAACACACTTTCGTTATTTCATCACCTATTTTACATTTTCCTAAAAATTAAGAAATGTAATATCTTATACGCATGAATTCAGAAGGTAAAATTGATCCAAGAAAGCAGGCACTGCACACATAAGAGACTTCTCTTCATTTTCAGGCTTGGTAATATTGGTGGGTTTTCCTGAATAAGGCTTTACTCTTTCAAAATTCCTTTGTCCTCAGTACAAAACCTGTATCTGATTAGCTTTCTTCTTTAGGAGGCATGGTTGGGTGGCCACATAATTATTATTAAAATATAATTTTCATAACCTCTGTGCAAAGCAAAGAAACATGCAAATTGAAGGTTAATGTATTAATCATATGGAAATATATGTTATGGAGGATGAAGATTAAGGTTCAGCATGTATAAGATTTATGCAGAATATTAGCCTTTCAAATTAGTCACAGCCACATCTCCATTCACCAAGTCCCTAAGAATTTAGTTGCTGCCATAGCTAAGGCCACGGCCAAGGGGTGTCTTGTTCTAATGAGGTCTCTGCTCACTCACATTAATTTTAATGAACTTAAAATGGTTTAATTATGAAAACAATGCACACTCATAAAAGCAATCTCAAGGTGTTTAAAAATACAAAGAAAGTCCTTCTGTTTCTCCCTCAGGAAGAATAACCTTTAACGTTCGATATGTGTCTTCCATGCAGTTTTTCTAGGTGAGCATGCACCCACACGTATACACACAGACATCCATCTTGTAAGCCTGTATGCCTCATTCTTTGTGAACGTTGGGTAAAATTATAATTATGTAAATTCTATCATTTAAACAAGTACCCATGAGAACCATTTTTTAATTTTCATATGTAATTAACATTCCTAATCATATTTCTTGCAGAATGGATCCTTAGATACGGTCTTCTAACTCAAAGAAATGTACAGCTACATTCTAATAAACACTGACAAAATGTCCTTGGACTAAATGGCATTCCCACCCTCAGTGAAGCCTTTAGACTTATTTACCAGGATGAGAGTTCAGGCCCATTTTTAACTACGTACACACACACACACACACACACACACACACACACACATGCACACTCTAAGCTTTAGTCTGGGAAATGCACATGTCATAGAAGTCTGAAGAGCACTACTGAGATCTCAGAATTCAGATATATATGCCCTCTTTGATACAGATTATGTCATGAGATGCAATTTACCTTATTTGTTAGAAGATTGTTTTTATCATACACATCTGTATAGTTTTTATAACTGGGGAATAACTGTTTCACAGCTTCAACTTCATCAAGATTTTCACTTATATGGCTCTACGAGAGAAAAAATAATATTTTCAATTTTTAAGGTAAAATGCCACTAGAAATTATACGTCCTACCCCAAAATGTATGGGTGGTTTCTACTTGTCTATGTGAGGGGCCACATAGAGAGACACTGAAGACTGCACATTCATTTAAAGCAGTCACATGACAAAGAAACTATGAATATGTAATTACACAAGCATATAATATTCTCACCCATGTAATGTTTCAATAAGGTCTTTTCAAATTCCAAACTATAGTAAGAACAAACAAAAATAAAAAGTGTTCCTTAAAGAAAGTTAACAGCCTAGCTCTTTGTGGCCACCTATTTCTTCTGCTGTTGTCCTTTAAGAAAAGAGGCCATCAACAGGACAGACGGCGTCTTTCACTCATAAGAAAACTGGATTTGAATAAAGAGAGCTGAATTTTAGGCCAAGTTCGGACCCTACTCATGGGTCTGAGGGTGAGTCGGTTCTTTTATTTAGGTCTCCATTTCCTCATCTCTCAAATAAAAGGGTTTGGCTGGATAAGCAATTTTCCAACTTCTTTTAGCTTTGGCCATGTTATTTTGATAAAAATTCATAGGAATCCAGGATGTAAAAGGCATAAACAAGTTGCCTCTCAGAATGAAGCAGGATTGGGACTCTGAGAATCTGTCTCCATTCTGTCCCCTTTTTTTGGCTTCCAGAATGAGTTCTTCTGCAGAAAACAATTTGAAAACAACTGGGCTAGACAATCCTGCAGTCACCTAGAAAGAGCCCGTGAAGACTCACACACAAGCAAAACAAGTGAGTCCCGGCTCCCACACCAACCTCTCTCCAGGCACCACAAAACTGGAGAGCAGATGAAGTGTTTCAGAGACAAACACGGAAGTGGAACCACACCCACCCCTGGCCTAACACAGAAGTCATTTCAGGCCAACTGGTGGTAGGTATATATTATGGGAAATAACTCATGAGCAAGCTACCACTTCCAAGAAAAGCAGTGCCATTTCCATGTCTCCATAGCCAAATAAATCAAAGAAAAAACCAGCAATATTCTATAAAACAGTCTCCCACCTATGGGATGAACTCTGTCCTTGGCCTTGAGGAAAGCCCAGAGCACTGAAGAAAAGCATGGGCACCAGAAGAAAGGACAACCAGATGATTTGTGTCATTTTGATAAATTTGAGTAAATACACCTACCTACAGACATACACCCCACGCAAGGATATACCTGCTTTTGCTGTGTGTTGATGGGGTTCAGTATCTACTGCACAAAATCTGTCATATTGGCATATTGAAAAATGCCACATTAAGGTAAAGGGGTTTGATAAGGGCAGAAGCAAGAAGGTCATTCTGGTGCCTCTCTCACCCTTCCTTCCCCGAAACAGGTCATAACACCCACATGTGAGAGGTGCCTGCCCTACACCCGGGGGAAAAGAGCACCTTTATCTCTAATGACAAAGGGAGCCAAGAAGAAGCTGAACAAGAAGAGCTTGCTAAGCTGCCTAAGGTCATATCCCTGAACCTCTCCTATTCCTCCACAACCGTGCATTCTTCATCAAGCCTGTAATGTTCAAAAATACTCAGGTCTAATAATTTCTCTGGGTTTTCATTTCCCATGAAGGCTCCTGTGTCATGTAAAACGTACATTAAATATATTTGCATGCTTTCCTCCTGTTAATCTATCTTCGCATTTAGTTTCCAAACCCAAACAGGAACTCCAAGAAGGTTGAGGAAAAACATTTCCCACCCCTACAACTGTGGAATTAAATAAAAAATTGAAATATCCCAGGCTGCACCTCAGCCCCCCTCTCCCCTCTACCCACCCCCCCCTTTCACACACACACACAAACAAACAGAAAGAGAATGGGGAACGATGATAATGGTGAATGAGACCCATTAAGATAAATCTTTAAAAACACACACACACACAAAAAAACAACCACCACCCTCCACCCTACAAATGATAAAGAATCAATGTGTTGCCTTTCTCCTGGCTTGCCCTTTGTTATCAGATAGCCAAGTCTTACCAGGGGAAATTTTAGTGCAGTATATAATGAAGCTTGGATGTTCCCAACTTCTAATTTTAACCCAGCTGGAAGCTTTAAAACGTGTTTTATTCCTAAGTTGCACCTGCTTAATGACAAAGTAATATATACTTTTTTTGTTCCTGGTTTTAAATTAAGAAACTTGGAACAAAGGGGCTTTAAAATGCATTTTGTAAGGTGGAAATGAGGCTCTTATTCCTTTTAAAATAATAGGTGGCTCCTTCAAAAATGAAGGGCTCGAATGCTGAGAAAGCATCAAATGAAAGAGAAGCAGAAAAGAAATGCAGTAGATGTATCCTACAGACAACAGGGAGCCAGTCTGCCTTAGATCTTGCTGGATTACTTGTGATAGCCTCATCTCCGCAAGCCTGATCAGAGATGATTGACAGGAAAAGGAACTTCCGGTTTTTTAGCTGAAAAGTTAAAGAATTGGCTTTGGGTGACGTCTGTAAGGACCTTCCCTGTCCCATAATGCTACACCTGTAGATCTCAGTAGAATTAGAGATTACTGCCAGAATGCAGGATAACGAGAAGCCTCGCAGGTCTGGCAGAAGCACAAGCAAGAGAAAAATACCCACCTGAATGTGCAGATCGCGGGTCTTCGCGATGTTTCCAAGATCGGCCAGCATCGTCTCAGAGCAGGAGAGGGCAAAGCGTGGTGTCACTATGGGCTTCACTCTAGAATACTGGAAATAGTGAAAACAAGTGGATAAGGAAAATGTTGATACCCTGGATGTGTAGCATACCCTGAATGCATATCTTACATCTGGGTCATTTATGTCTTGATATTTGGGGACAGTTCTTTCTAGGAGTGGGTGGAAGTGCTGGGTTTCATGGAAATGGCTCATGGCTGAGGACAAAGGAGAGTATATTCTGTGGCACCCAGTTCAATGGAAGAAGAGCTTGTCCCAAATGACAGCCACCCCTGGTCCACATCCACCGCAGGGCTCCGCCGAGGCTGCACTGGTGGCCTCCATCAAGAGAAATGAGAGGCACAGGGAGAACTTTTAAAGGAGAGATCTGGGAGACTAGCAGGGAGGCAGTGCTGGCCATGGCATCCCCAAGAACTGTTCCATAGTAGAACTGGCTCCGATGTCACCCGAAGTGAGGGTCTGAGCAGGAAAGAACTTATAGAGGGATGGAGAGAATAAGGACCCACAAGAGTCCACCTAAGTCCCCCAAGGTTAGATGGAAAGAAATTCCAAGGTTCACTGTGGTTCCCAATCAGACCTCAAAAGATGGGAAGGGAAGGGTCTGGCAATTTAAGAGATGGCACCAGGGAACCATGAGCCAGCCTGCTGGGGATGGAGGCAAAAAACAGCACTGCCTCCCTAGGCTCACCAACCCCAGGGCCTGCAAAAGGGAGTGCCTGGCTGAGTGCCCGCAGGCCATGTGACAAGCCACACATACATATGTGGGCCAAGGCAGCCTGTGGCAGGGGCATCTGGGCTGGACACCACCTATGTTTCAGATCAGATCTACAGGCCACAGCCAATATCAGCATAGCTAGCAAACATCGCGCTTCAATTTCCAGTTGCCACCAATCTGTCCACAGCCATGCAGCCCACCCCACCTTCCCACAGATCAGCCCAGTGAAATGAGACGGTCCCAAAGGGGAGGAAGAGAAAACCACCAAGAGAGCAAAAAATGCCTGACCTCACTGAGCTGAGTTGACAGGTCCTCTGTGAAAACAACTTGAGGTTCTAGGAAAGTACTTCTGCATGCATGGGGATAAGCCAAATATGGGGGAAAAAAGAGGAACAAATGTAATAATCTGAACAATAAAGATTTAAATTTAAAAAAAATAAAAAAAAATAAAAAAAGTGTTTTTCATCTTCACAAAAAAAAAAAAAGAGATGGCACCAGGGAACCATGAGCCAGCCTGCTGGGGATGGAGGCAAAAAACAGCACTGCCTCCCTAGGCTCACCAACCCCAGGGCCTGCAAAAGGGAGTGCCTGGCTGAGTGCCCGCAGGCCATGTGACAAGCCACACATACATATGTGGGCCAAGGCAGCCTGTGGCAGGGGCATCTGGGCTGGACACCACCTATGTTTCAGATCAGATCTACAGGCCACAGCCAATATCAGCATAGCTAGCAAACATCGCGCTTCAATTTCCAGTTGCCACCAATCTGTCCACAGCCATGCAGCCCACCCCACCTTCCCACATATCAGCCCAGTGAAATGAGACGGTCCCAAAGGGGAGGAAGAGAAAACCACCAAGAGAGCAAAAAATGCCTGACCTCACTGAGCTGAGTTGACAGGTCCTCTGTGAAAACAACTTGAGGTTCTAGGAAAGTACTTCTGCATGCATGGGGATAAGCCAAATGCACACAGATCATTCTCTGCCGGACAACTTAATAATGAATCCTACGACTGAGACCAAGGCAATCAAAATACAAGCTGAGAACAAGTTTACTTACGTTCCTTTGGAGCATTTCTGACACGAATCTGAAATAAGGCAACAAATGGGAAGTTAGAAAATGTAGGCATTTTCAAAAAAAATTTTAAAAAAGAGGTAAACACGAAATTTCCATGTCCCATTTTCCATGCAAACACTCTAGCACTGCACACGTTTCACCACACTAATTAACGATGAACAAGTAGTAATTACTCTGCTTTCTCGTTTGCAGAGATGGAGTGCAAAGTCACAGAGAAATGCAATTTTATCATCTAACGTCAACTGGGCTGTTCATGAGTATTCATTCCCATGACACTCAAGCCATTCTACCAGCTTTAGTTTGGGGTGGGGGACTATTGCAAAATGTGATGCTACAGGGATGTTAGAGTCCCTAAATCCTATGCATCTGGAAACATTTAGAAGCTATGGGGCTCTCTACTCCTAATTTCCCTAAAGTGGAAGCTTCTTGCTCACACTAAATCACCCTTAATTTCCACTGGGATTCTGGAGTAAGGTAGAAGACAAAGGTTATGAAATGGGTGGTGATGGGGGTGGCGGTCTTACCAATTGTATCTGCAGGGATGGTGGTATTTGCATGACCCATAAAATGATTAATTCTGCCCTGGCTGGGAATATTTATTAGCTAAGCTTCCTGTCTTCTGGAAGTCCTTTTTCCTTTGTTTCAGAATAAAATGTGAATTAAGGTTTACTATGACCACAAACACACATTCATAGAAAAGTTGAGCTGATGGCCAATGCTAAGGCGAAGGTGCACGCTTCCTTTTCTCTGGGGCAGGTAGCAGCTCCCGAGCCTCCCTTTTCAGAGGACACACTGTAGGTGAAGGAGGTCTGGGGAATCAAGAAAAGTTGGAGTTCTAAAATTTGCATGGGGATATGTTTGGTCTGGGGAAGATTTAAATCTAAAGAAATTTCTTCTATGTATAGCTCTTGGGTGTTGAGTGTCATACAACACAATTCCTTGTCAAATCCTCAAGGCACCTTGAAAAAGCCATTAAAGAAAAGTAGAAAAAGTACCTATAGGATCAGTAGAATATGCCAATGTAAGATAAAGAGTTCAAACCCGTGTTGCTCAAGAGTCAACTGTAACTTAAGGAGCAGGCTACACACACACTTAAAGCAAGTCCAACATACAGGAGAAGACCAGATCTATGGAGGAAGGGTGTAAATCATTTACTTCAAAAAAAGAACCCCTCATGTTACAAAGGGGCTTATCCTAGGACTCCTGTAACAAGTTCCTGCCCAGCTGGTGTGGCTCAGTGGTTGAGCATTGACCTATGAACCAGGAGGTCACAGTTCAATTCCTGGTCAGGGCACATGCCCAGGTTGCAGGCTCGGATTCTGCAGGAGGCAGCCAATCAATGATTCTCTCTCATCACTGCTGTTTCTATTTCTCCTTTCCTCTCGGCAATCAATAAAAATATATTTTAAAAAACACACACAAGTTCCCAGAAGCTTTAAAATATAATTTGGTATACAAAAATAGTATTGAATGTGATGTTTTTTTTAGGACCAGATCAATTTCATAAAGTTGGGCAAACCCACGCTGTAACATGTCCACATCCCGCCTGGTTCAGAGAGGTTTTCTCGCTCCATCTCCAACTCCATCAGTGCAGCAGAAGGACCGCTCACAAGACAAATATAGATGAACATACCTCTCCGTTTCCTTGATTGATTCCTCAGTGGTTTCCTTGTATTCTGGAACTGTGTCATTCATATCCATGCAGACTTTGCCCACAAAGGCCCGCTGCCCAAATTTATCTGTGAGGCACACAGAAAAAGGACCTAAAGTCATGTGTCTTTCCTACACAGTACCTTCTCTGAGCCTTTTAAAACATGTTTAAATTAAAATCATTATGAAAACATAGGTGAGAATATGAAAGACTATTCATTAAGAATAATAACAACAACAAAACCCCACTATGTTCTATAAGTAGCAAATATTCTTCCACCCATCATTTCAACCACCCCCTCCCCAACTCCCACTTCTAGGCTGGCCAGGTAATAATTGGGTGTTTTTACTTATTACTCAGTTTTTTTTCTTTGCTTACACAGTTTGTCTATATTTTTACTCAAGTCATAACTATGCTTGTTCCCATTTTATTGCCTGGAAAAAGAGAGGGCAGCCTCAGACCCTCGTGTAACACCAGCTAGGAAGTTGGCTCTATATTGGGCAATGTTAACTTTTTTTTACAATGTCTCCACCTGTCATAAGAATCTTACAGAAATCTTTCTGCC